CCTTGGGTCTGGTCTCTGCACTTAGTCCACCATTGATGAAGATTCCTCCTCGGCCATTGCCGAGTCTGATGGGATGTCATCACTGAGCCTGCGAACGTCGATCTTTGTATGGAAATGGTGTTTGTCGGTTTCACAAGCTTTGTAAATCGGCTCTTGTTCTTCTTCTAGAGGACACGGCACTCACCCGCATCACTCCCCTCCTGTAGGACTGTCCATTCTTGGTGTGGATCTTTTATTTTTGTGATATTTTTTTTTGGCCGCCTTGTACAATTCTGAGGCTGTAAATACCGCTTAGTTTGTAGCGTTCTTTCTCAGATCACATTAAACTAGTGAAAGGATTTGATTGGCCGTGTGCGGTTGTAGGGTTGTTGCTTTTTAATGTCTTTTTTTGTTTTCATTTACTGTTTTAGGTTTTTATTGGTCTGTTTTTTTTTTTTTTCAATAAAACAAATTGGATCCCATGAGGAGCGAACGTTGTGTATTCAGACTCTGCCGGGACAGTCACCGTCACCTCTCTCTCACTCACTCTTTCACTCTCTCTCACTCTCTCTCACTCACTCTCTCACTCTCTCTCACTCACTCTTTCACTCTCTATCACTCACTCTTTCACTCTCTCTCACTCACTCTTTCACTCTCACTCACTCTTTCACTCTCTCTCTCTCTTTCACTCTCTCTCACTCACTCTTTCACTCTCTCTCACTCTTTCACACTCTTTCACTCTCACTCACTCTTTCACTCTCACTCACTCTTTCACTCTCACTCACTCTTTCACTCTCTCTCACTCTTTCACTCTCTCTCACTCACTCTTTCACTCTCTCACTCACTCACTCTCTCTCACTCACTCTTTCACTCTTTCACTCTCTCTCACTCACTCTTTCACTCACTCTCTCTCACTCTTTCACTCTCACTCACTCTTTCGCTCTCACTCACTCTCTCTCACTCACTCTTTCACTCTCACTCACTCTTTCACTCTCACTCACTCTTTCACTCTCACTCACTCTTTCACTCTTTCACTCTCACTCACTCTTTCACTCTCACACACTCTTTCACTCTCACTCACTCTTTCACTCTCACTCTTTCACTCTCACTCACTCTTTCACTCTCACTCACTCTTTCACTCTCACTCACTCTTTCACTCTCACTCACTCTTTCACTCTCACTCACTCTTTCACTCTCACTCACTCTTTCACTCTCTCTCACTCACTCTTTCACTCTCTCTCACTCACTCTTTCACTCTCTCTCACTCTCTCTATCACTCTCTCTCACTCACTCTTTCACTCTCTCTATCACTCTCTCACACTCTCTCACTCACTCTTTCACTCTCACTCACTCTTTCACTCTCTCTCACTCACTCTTTCACTCTCTCTCACTCACTCTTTCTCTCTCACTCACTCTCTCTCTCTCTCTCTCTCTCCTTTCACTCACTCTTTCACTCACTCTCTCTCACTCACTCTCACTCACTCTCGTTCCAGCAGTGAGTGGCCCCTCAGGACGCCCCTATTTCAATCTACTTTTGTTGGAGGAGGGCCAAAAATTGTCAGCCAAATAGTGATTGCAGCCATTCAGTGCAGTCATTGTTCGGTTATTAAGATGGCCGCACCCATTCCACCGTTAAGATGCAACAGCCTAGGCCTAGGGGGTGCTGTACTTAAGAACAAAAAATTTACTTTGTGGGAAAGTGAACTTGCCCTTTAAGATGGCCGTACACTGATAGATTTTCTTATGAAAAGTCTGTTCGGAACTTCTGACAATTCCATCAGAGATTTGACGTATTTCATTTGATTTTAAAGAACTCCAGGAATTTAGAAGAAGTACCCTTGCAGTGGAGCTACCCCAGCACGGCAAGGGTTAAGTGATTGTTTTGTCTGGGGGAGTCAAATAAACCAAATATAGATTTCTTGGTCCCGCTGGGCTGCTAGATCAGTCCCCGCAGCCTCTTTTCTCCCAGGCTCCGACGGTCTAAGGACTGATGCCATCATCACATGTAATGCAGGTCCATCGCTGTGGTGGAAAACGATCGCTGATTCAATCCAATCAACTACTAGAAAATCAAACAAATGTTGTGAAAACAATATTTTTGCAACAAAATTGTACTGGTGTACGGCCGGCATGATGGCTGCAGGAAGATGAACGTTTAGATGCCTTGGAGTCACAGATTCACTGAAGGTCAGTTAGATTTAGGGATGCCTTGATACTCACCCAAATACTCCCAATACCAGAACATCGCACACGCAGGTTGTTTACCGCGACAGTAAACGTGATTTCTGAAGATACGGGGAAACAACGCGATTTAACAGCCTCTGAACGTGGGATGATTGTTGGCGCTCGGAGCCATGGAGCGAGTATCAGCAAAACAGCAGAATTCGTTAAATGTTCAAGAGCGGCTGTTGTTAAAGTGTTTAAATACGGGACTGTCAGCCGAAAATCTGGGTCTGAAGGTGCGAATTGTGGCCGTCAGCCACTAGTCAATGTTAGGACAGAACGGAGAGTGGCAAGACTGGTACAAGACAACAGAAGGGCAACAGTGCATCAAATGACTGCAGATCTTAATCAGGAATCCTCTCAAAT